CCATTTATAATTGAAAAAGACTAAATTTACCTCCCCCCATTGAATTATTTTGGCATCCTTGACATATAATAAATATCCATAATGGGAGGGTTTATTTTTAAATTCTCATGTATGTTTCATTGGTTTATTTGTCAGGGTATGCCAGTACTTGATTACTATTGCTTTGTAGGAATTTGATTTTTTTTTTTTTTTAAAAGATTTATTTATTTCTTTATATAAGCACTGGGTACAGTCAGAAGTGCGGGAGGGTGAGAGAATCCACCAGAGCCAGAGCGGGGAAGAGAACAGGCAGAATGACGGAAGTACACTGCTGAGGGGAGCAGCGAGTGGCAGGAGAGGTCTGCGTACCATGTGGGACCCTCACTGGCTGCTGGGGATTGAACTGGTGCTGCAGAGGCTGCGGGTAGCCTCGCAGCCCAGCGCTCAACCGCTGCACCACCAGGGAGGCCCAGGAATTTGATTCTTGAACATGCTTGGATTAGGGACAATTTGATATAGTTCACACAAGGGACTGAATTAATTACATACTAATACTATTTTAGAAATGTGATCTTACATTTAATCTAAGGATGTTGGCCTTTAGAGTCCCCCAATGATATGTTGGGTGTTTAAGTTGGCTCTTCCTCTTTGCAGAGTCCACTAGTCATCTCAGTTATCCTATCAAATTGTTTAAAGTTCTGTTCAGCTGCTGACAAACTGCTTTTGAATTAGAAATGCTGTAAGAAATATATAATACCACATGCCAGACTCATCTATCTATACTTCCCTTCTGTCAAAGAGCTTAGTCTTTCATTTTGGAAGATTTTTTCAAAATATTTTATCCAGCTCATCTAGTTCTTCTGTGTGGGCATCAGTCATATATGAGCTTCCACCAAAACCAATAGTAGAGGTCAAAATTCATTTTAATACATTAATAGAATTACCAATCATTGACAAATAATTAACAGATTCAAAGTTTTAAAGAAATTATATATATATTTATATATATATATATATGCCTGTCATAGAAATAGTTTCAAAATCTAAAAAGAAAAAAATGTTGAGTTATATAAGGATGTCTTTCTCAAGAATGTAGAAACTGAGTTGATCCTGAAAGAAAAGTATAATTCTCAATAGGGAAAGAGCTACATGGAACCAATTATTCAGTAATAACTCTTTGATAAACAGCTGGATAAAATGAAATGTCAAAGAACAGAGCAGGAGAAAAGTATACCTAGTAGAAAAAATTCTGATTCATATTATAAATCCTTCAATTATTCTACTATTGCAATTAAATAAAATGCTTTACATCAATTACGTCCTGTGAATTTTGTTATTGGAATTGCTAATGAAAACTACACAAATAAAATGTATCAATTGGAGAGGAATGAAATTCAGCAGCACAAAATAAGAAGAGTATTAATAATAACCTTTCAATCAGTAAATGATGTTAAATAAATTAATGCAAATAAAGCTCCCTAAGATGCCTTGATAGAAACATCTTTGAAGTGTTATCAACCTATTATTATTATTTATTAAAAGAAAGCTTATTTAATTCATTGTGCTCTCCTTTGGAAGTAGTATATATTATAATATAAACAGGAGGGGTTAGTGATTTATAATACAGTGTTCTTTTTCATAAGAACAATTGCAATGTTCTTTGGATGAATTCCTTGCAAACCACAGAGCATTGTTCTTTTCTTACTAAGCCTTTGTAAGAGAACTTGAATCACTCTATATTCCACTGAGTTTGACAAGTGTTTCTCACCCCTTGCCCAATGCCAGTGTAAGTCATTACAAAGCAAAGCCATGCTTTCTTCAAACACTTCAGGAATCAATTCCTCTCTGTTCTGAATGGTTGAAAAGAGGAAGCAAAGTGAGGAGAACAATGAAGAAAATAAAAAAAACTACTGAAATACTTATGGAACCTGTTCGGGCCACAGCTGCAGAAGCAGTGGTTGTTGTAATTCACAGTGTACTATCGAATTTAATGTTGGGTTTACATGTCTTAGGTTTTGCTCAGGATATCACATTTACTTTTAAAATTAGTTATGGTTCTAGGCCTCCCTGGTGGCACAGGCGGTTGAGCGCCGCGCTGTGAAGCTGTCCGTAGCCATTGCAGTGCTGGTTTGATCCCAGCCGGCAGGCGAGGGTCCCACATGGTGCAGCAGGCCTCTCCTGTTGCTCCCGCTGCTCCCCTCAGGAGTGTACTTCAGTCAATCTGCCTGTTCTGCTCTCCACTGTGTCTCTAGTGAATCTTCCCACTCTCCCACACATGTTGCCTGTGCCCTGGTTCTTGTATAAATAAATAAATAAACCTTTAAAAAAATAGTTATGGTTATTTGCCAAGTAAGAAAAAATTTACATTATTAAATTTTTTTCAGAATATCTAGATTAAACTAGAATTTCAGAGTGATCCAGGAATTGTTAAGGAGCAAATTCAACATAATAGCACCCAAAATGAGGACAAGCCAGTTTCAGACTTTCCCTTTTTTCATTAGGTATGCCTACATTTTCTTTGTCTCCTTATCATTCACTTATCATTCTTCTTATCATTAACAAGAAGGTTGACTGCCAGGAACAATTTTCTTAAACCTGGAAAAAAATTTTACTGTCTCATACTAAAACAGCATAACATTATATATATATATATATATATATATACACACACACACACACAATATACAATATAATATATTACTATAATATATATTTATATACAATATAAATATAGCATATTTATATTAACATATAGAAAATATTAAATATATATAAATATAAACATATGTATTTTTTCTTTTGTCACTTCTGAACTTTCTTGTATGGACTTTCTTGGACTTTCTGGACTTTCTTGCATGGACTTTCTTGTATGTGTGCAAATTCATACCAGTAAGAAAATATATGTTCTGATTAGGAGAAACATTCAGACTACTTTTTACTAAATTAAAGAGTTGGAGAATGATCCTGACTGCTTGAAATATGTTATCAAGTTATGGAAGTTTTTATTTTGTTTGCCTCAGCTCTAAAATTAATATATGAATGTAGAAAGCAGGTTATTTAGACAAAATATGAGAAACCCCAGTGTGGGAGATTACAGTGATGGCCCTAAATCTATACCTATTTCCTTTGCCTTGTGACTTTGCAACTTCCTCCTATCATTAGCAGTCTATTGCATGCCTCAACACTGGTATCAACCGGGTGATTTATTTTGGCTAATCGGAAGTGGCAGACATGACCCAAGCAAATGTTTGAAGTGAACATGTGCATTTGGGCTTTTCCTTTTGTGTCTCTGTTGTCACCATCACCATGACAACATGCTCAGGCTGTGATTCTAGAGAGAGATGTTAGGGTTGTGTATTGAAGCTGATTCATCCAGGTGTGTATGACTTCAGCGCTAACATTCAAGAATTTCAACCAGTGATATCTTGAAATTGGCCATGGTAGGAGTTTTATTATTTATTTATTTAGTTAAAATTTATTTATTTATGCATGCAAGAACTGGGGTGTAAGCCAGAGGTGGGATGTGGTGGGAGGATTCACCAGAGACAGATGGGAGTAGAACAGGTAGATATACTGAAATATACCACTGAGGAGACCAGTGGGTGAGATAGGAGAGGTCTGTGCACTATGTGGGTAGCTCCCTGGCTAGGGATAGAACTTATGCTGCAGAGCCTGCGGATATCTTCATAGTGTTGAGACTTAACACTTTGCACCACCAGGGACACCCTGGTGAGAGTTTTATACCACAGAAATGAGGAAATGTTTTAATCAGGGCTTCTCTCTCTCTCTCTCTCTCTCTCTCTCTCTCTCTCTCTCAAATAGAGCAAAATCATCCCATTTTCCCCAGTCCCATACATATGACCAAACCCAGCCAAGATCAACCAGTTTGCTTACTCAGTTCTCACTGAACCCCAGATATGTGAGCAATAAATTTTGTGACATTTTACCTTTATTATGGCAACATGCAACTGATAACACAAAGAGATTTTTAAACATGTAAGTATTCACATGATGTTTTGATGCTTCTTACGACAGGTAAAACAAAGTACAAAATAATTATTTCATAAATTTTTAAGGGAGAAATTTGATATTTATTGGGTACTTACACTGTTCCAAAAAATACATTTAATACATATAGCAAATGGTTAATATTATTTACCATGGACAGCAAAAAACAAAACAAAACATTTTTTTTCCCAAAGATTTATTTATTTATCCAAACAAGGACTGGGGTATAGGCCAGAGGCGTGGGAGTGTGAGAGGATTCACCAGAGACAGAGCGGGGAACAGAACAGGCAGATTGTCTGAAATACACTGCTGAGGGGAGCAGCGTGAGCGACAGGAGAGGTCTGCCGCACCATGTGGGACCCTCGCCTACCAGCTGGGATCGAACAGGCTCTGCAGGCTACAGACAGCTTCACAGCGCAGCGCTCAACTGCCTGCGCCACCAGGGGAGGCCCAGGAAGATATAATTCTCAAAGTGTACTGCAACAAGACTTTCATATTGTTTGCTCTTATTTGAATGTGACATTGATTCTTCATCAATGAGATATACAGCATCTCCTCTTGATTCTAGGAAATTTGATGATTATAGTAGAAATGATGTTATGTGACTTTCAAGACTGAGTCACAAAAAGCCTATATTTCCACCTGGTTCAATTGAGATGCTCTCTCACAGGAATGAGCTTGAAGTGTGGGCCACATGTATGTCTTCCATCCAAAATTTTCAACCAAGGTATTATTTGACAGCCAACATTAAAAATTGTCAGAGATGTGAATGAGGTATGATACCAGTCTCAGCCATAGTAAGAGAAAACACACCCTTAAAATCTATATTGCCTTTAGAGTCACCTTGAAACCAGTATTCAAATATGGGAAATTATTTGTAATTTTCTTATATTTTCAAATCCCGAAGATTTCTGTCCTAGAGAAATTAAGTTGTGATAAAGAGATAAATTTGAAGTGAAAAGACTCAAATGTAATGGGAAAGATTAATTCTAGTTCCTTTGGTCTCCTTGCAGAAATGGAAAGCATAAGAAGATCTATAATCCAACTGTACCTCAAGACCTCCAAAATACATGGTAGCCTACAAACCTGTAAGTACACCTATTATTGAAAGTGATCATCTTCTTCAAATTCAGATTTTCCTGTCTTCTCTACTTTACGTGTTTACTAGTCTCTTTCCCTCCCTGACTGGAATGTATTGCTTTCTACTTGGTTTCTCATGATATTGTGTCTTCTGATCGAAGTGCCACATGTACTCAGCACATTCTATGTATTATCTCATTTAAAGTCCATGGCCATTTAATGAAAGCATTGCCCCTCTATTTTAAAGAAGAGGTTAGTGACTCCCCAGTGGTTATTCTTGAGCCCTCTCTGACTGGCTCAAAATTGGAGCTTAGGTCTACTCTATCATTCTTTTGGCTTTCATTTCCTAATAGTTGTACAAAATGATCTACAGGCCTTTAGTTTCATCACACACAATTTCTCAGAATATTCACATCAGATGAAATTTATGATCTTTTGAGCATATCAAAACCATCACTAGTTTCTCTTAAACCCCAAGACAGAAAACAAAAAAAATTAACTTGATTTTAGGAACTCCTTTATTTAACCCTTGGTTTCCCCATTAACTTTTTCTCTTAGTGATTATTTCTCCTATCCTATACAATGTGATTTCTTCTAGTGTTCTGAAACCATTGGATGTGTTCCTGCTTCCATGTTTTTGTATATTATATCATGGTACTGTATCTACATTTTTTATTATCCATTAATACATATGTAGTTATTTATAGGTTAAAGACATACATCTTTCTACATATGATATATATATATATAGATATCAATAGATGTAACTCTCACACAGCTAATGTCTCCTTCTACATATTTATCCTCGATATATACAGTCATAGAGAGACATAAATAGATACAGATATAGAAGGAAGGTGGGAGAGGGGGAGATTCTTGATCAACTGTGCATTTTAGATATTATAAGTTATACTTCAAAAAATGAAAAAAACAGCCAAATAAAAAACACTGCTATAGTTTATACTTCTTTGTCTCTTTCATTGTGCTATGGCTGATTTACCAAAATTATAGATATGGTGATAAAAATGTTGCAATATATCCAGTCATTTCTACATATTCCTTGGATATTTCTCTTAAAATGAAATAAAAGAACTGCCAAGGAATCATCTCCTTCACTCTTTAGAATATGCCACATTCTACAAACATTCCATTAAAATGAGAGCTCAATTGGGAGAATCTCAAAAACTGAGCTTCTCATTACAAGGAAAAGGAAAGGTTATCAAGCACTTTCTCAATCCTGACTCTTGAACAATTTCAACTTTTCACACCACAGTCTTTAACCCTTAAAGGAGGAGACAACTGTAAAATGTCCCAAGGTTTTTTGAAGCCTTGGAATAGAGTCAATAGAGAAGTAAAAATATTAACAGGTGGTAACTTGGAAATAATGTGGTATTAAAATGAGATATAATAGGCAGTTGTACTACTAATAATGTTCTGACATGTGGAATTCTTAATGCCAGATGTAGTGATAGTCTTTTCTTATCTCACTTTATATTACATTATTTTCTTTGTGAAATGGTTTTATTATTTTTCGTACATTAAGTTCAAACCAGTAACCATATTTCAAGCCTTATCATTCTGAAAAGCAATCTTCAGTGCATTTCAGATGATATTAAGACACCACACAGGAGTTATACTGATTTCAATAGTAATGAATTGCCTGAGATAGTCTCTTTTACTACTGTTGAAAAATAAAATTTGGATATAAAATATGAATTCTGACTAAGCTTCCCAGCACTCAGTACCTTTATGGTTAAGGATGTGATGTTGCTCACAGCTCTTCAGAACACCTTATTGTTCTCTGTTACAATCCCACTGCCATCTAATCTATTGCTTAACTATGCTAAACATATTTAGAAGGAAATATAAAGACTTGTTAGATTTATTGGATATTCTAACTCCAAGTATCCAATGTTACTAGATTTCTGCTTCTTATAGGACAATGGCAGTTGATATTGTAAAGGTAATTTTCTCTTCTATGACCCTCATCTGTAGTTATGTCAAGTAAAAATAAATCTGGAATTAGGTAAGGAGAAACTTTTTTGAAAATATATTCTTGTAGTTGGGCTCTAGTCTCAGGATTTGCAAGAATACAGAAATCAAACAGGAATAATAATAAAAAAAAAGTTTTCTTATAGCAAAGGGCCAGCAGGGCTAACAGGAAGCTTTGAGGGGAATTGGACAAGCTAATGAAGGTGAAACGAGAGCATGATCAAGCTGGCCTAAATGGAAATATTTTTAACTGTAGTCTACTGGTTCTCAAGATGAGCTATTAGAGGGAATGTCCTGAACTTCTGTGTTTGCTTAGTCTCTGGGATGAAACCAAAGTTCAGGGAGTCTGTGGGGAGGAGAGAAGTTTGACTCAAGTTTAGTCAAGTTAAATGAGTGGGTAGTGATGGACAGTTGTGAACATGTAGTCGACAATTTGCAGAAAATCCTATTTTTTAAGTAAAATGAAACCAACACATAACATTTGTGTGCCTGCCATATACAGGGCACTGTGTACTGTGGATAACTCCTGACTTGGAAGTAATCTCATGGACCATGACTCACTCTCCTTGGAGTACATTGTTGTGAAATTTGTGTTCTACTGTACCTTCATTGTACCTATTTCCTGCCACTCAGGATGATTTAGTGAATGAGTGATGAAAAAGCAATGGAAATAGTTAAATCTGTGGGTTCCCAAAAGTGCCCACAAGCAGTTGTAAGCATATTGTGCCAATCAGTACATTTTTCTTGAGTGAATTTATAAATAAGTTCATTTATACAATTATTTGCCATGGTGTATGTGTGTGCATGTGAGAGAGCGATGGTGTGTGTGTTCTATCTACTGATAATGTTTAAAAGAGGCAAAAAAAGCAAAGTGCACATTCTGGTCCAGGCGTATGGTCTTTGGTTGCACTGAATACCTTTTTTTTAGAAAATAAATTGAGGGCTCCCTAAGTAGACCTACCCACTGAATTCACATGTATGCTACCAAGACTAACAGGAAAATGCATCAAGCAAGAAGCTGGTTATCCACTTTCTTCTTAGAACTGTCTGTAATTATGTAGATGGTAGTATGCAAGTATTTAAACCTTTTGAACCTTGCTGTAAATATCTTCAAGTTGAGAGTATTTGATAAATTCAAACTGTGATCATCACTGTGATCATTTTAAAGTTGCATAGTAAATCACACTTAAATTCATAGAATTTGAGAAAAGCTGAGGAGAAGCGTTGATTTGATTGGGAGAGCATAGATTCCAAATAGTGTATATGATTAATTATCAAGTAAAAGCTACATATATCTAAGTTATGACAATCCATAGAAGAGTGAAAACATTTCCAAAATAAATGAGAAAAAATGTAAAAACATATTTAAATTTTCAGTTTAGCTTTTTTAGTCACTCAATAAATTTTTATTGAATTACGACTGAGTTGCTTCCATGAAATGAGATTATTCTCTACTCCGCAAATTTTTTATCTTTTTATTTTGCATCTTTGTTCACATACATTTCTTACATCACCTCTTATCATCCAATGTACCATCAAAACCGAAATCAAATATCATTTTTTTCTGTAAGTTCTATTACATATAACCTAATCAGAACTAATCCATTCATCTTTTTTTAAAAGTAGATTTTTTTAATTAACAAAGAAATAAAGGATGACTCTACACAATTAAAATATGCTGAGATATAAGTCATTTCAGCAATGCAAAATGGTATATCACTTAGAAAAGTTCATCAGTTTCTCAGAAAGTTAAATACATCTACTCTATAATCCAACCATTTTACTCCCAGGTAACTATCTAAGAGAAATGAAAACATATATGAACATTTACACCTGTACATAAATTTCATAGCCCTAATATTAATAATAACACTGACCTGCTAACAACTGAGTGTCCATTTACTGTTAAATGGATCAATAAAATGAAGGTGTATCTGTTTAGTGGAATACTAACTAGCAATAAAATAAGTAAACTACTGATACACAACAATAATATAGTTATCAAAAACAGCATACTAAAAGAAAAATGCCAGACACAAATGATGTAATACCTTAACTGAGGGACTTACAAATAAGAGATAGTTATTTATTATGGTTCTTAGTGGGGGGAGGTTGGAAATTCCAAGATCAGGTGCCAGCTGAGTAGCTTTGCTGTGAATTATTTGCTGCAAACTTTCTCACTGAGTAACTAATTCCCTTAAACCAATAAGGGGGGTGCAATTGTATGGGGAATATAACCAAGAAGAAAATGAATACATTGTGCAAAAATGAAAAATGATGTAAAATATATTAAAAATATAATATATATATAAAGTAAAATCAGTGAAAATAATAGGACCTAAAATTTAAATGGACTTAGTAAAACATGTTTTCTTTTTTGCTACTTACTCTTTCTTTGTTAAAGGTGGTTATCTTTTTCCAAATACTTGGATATCTATTTGTAACTGGGCTTTGTGGTTACAGTGGGAAAACCTGCAATATTATTTAGTAGACCAAGGCTGCTGATATTTCTTATCATAATATGTGGTGTATGTACTGCTAATACATATATGGACCACATTTAAATGTTCCATTACATGACCAGTCCTTTTATTTCATCTAATCATTTAACTCAGATTCTGTGTCAAATACCAAAATTCTCTCTGCATCTTGTTCTCCACTATCAAATAACAAAACATTTTCAACATTTTTCAACGAAGTTAATACTCATTAGGAATAACATATCCCATTTGTTTTCGGGAGGGAGGAAGAGGAGGAAGAGGAGGAAATACAGCAGCCTTATTTGCTGTATTTGGAAGCTAGTATATCAGAAAAAGAGCACAAAACTGGTGACTTCTGTGTTTAGAGAAAATTTAAATGGAACCACTTATGAAAATATGTTCTCAAGTTAATCCATATGTTTACTTATAAGAACTAGTTCCCCTTGTATGTACAGATGAAGTTTTAATCATCATTAATATGTTTTATTTATTAACAGGGTGATATAGTGTCTATTAAATATGATTTGTGGGTAATA